AAAACGCTGTATCGGTCAGTATTGGCCAGCTGATATTTAGCCAATTTTAGTGTGTTTTTTTGCCTTATTGATATCGGCCGATTTGTCGACGCAATCGCTAATTAATTAGCAAATGGCTTTCTTCGCTGCCCTCCTTTTTCTGCTGTTAACAATTTTTGTTAAACTGATTTATGTATTTGTCCGAAATATAAAAAATCGGCAGCACATATCTGCGATCGTTCGACTGATGGTGAAGTAATCGGTATCGGTCTTTTAAAAAAACGCTGTATCGGTCAGTATTGGCCAGCTGATATTTAGCCGATTTTAGCGTGGTTTTTTGCCTTATTGATATCGGCCGATTTGTCGACGCAATCGGTAATTAATTAGCAAATGACTTTCTTCGCTGCCCTCCTTTTTCTGCTGTTAACAATTTTTATTAAACTGATTTATGTACTTGTCCAATATACGAAAAAACAGCAGCACATATCTGCGACCGTTCGACTGATGGTAAAGTAATCGGTATCGGTTATAAAAAGAATGCTGTATCTGTCAATGTTAAGTGTCCAGAAGACCCTATGGTGTGGGGGGTTCTGAATAGAAACAGACAGACACATTAGCCGGTCAACATTTTAGCCGATATTACCATGTTTTTTGTTTTTTGCATTATCGGCATCGGCCGATACGTGCACGCACTCACGGATTAATTACTGAATGGCTTTCCCTCCTTTTTCTGCTGTCTATTGTTAATGAATCTCTTTTTTTTTCTTACCAATTTTTGTTAAACTTAGCTTGACCGAAATATAAAAAATCGGCAGCCCATATCTGCGATCGTTCGACTGATGGTAAAGTAAGCGGTATCGGTCTTTAAAAAAAATGCTGTATCTGTCAATCTTTAGTGTCCCAAATCCCAATGGTGTTAGGAGGTTCTGACTAGAAACAGACAGACGCATTGGCCGGTCGATATTTTTAGCCAATATTAGGATGCTTTTTTTGCCTTATCAAGTTTGGCCGATACATGCACGCAATCGCTGATTAATTATGGAATGGCTTTCATTGCTGCCCTCCTTTTTCTGCTGTCTATTGTTAATGAATCTCTTTTTTTCTTACCAATTTTTGTTAAACTGAGCTTGTCCAAAATATAAAAAATCAGCAACACATATCTGCGATCATTAGACCGATGGTAAAATAATCGGTATCTGTCTTTAAAAAAATGCTGTATCTGTCAATCTTTAGTGTCCCAAGACTCAATGGTGATGGGAGTTTCCAACTAGAAACAGACAGAAGCATTAGCCGGTCGATATTTTTAGCTGATATTAGGATGTTTTTTTGCCTTATCAAGTTCGGCCGATACATGCAAGCAATCGCTGATTAATTAGTGAATGGCTTTCAACGCTGCCCTTCTTTTTCTGCGGTCTATCGTTAATAAGTCTCTTTTTTTCTTACCAATTTTTGTTAAATTGAGCTTGCCTGAAATATAAAAAATCGGCAGCACATATCTGCGATCGTTCGACTGATGGTTAAGTAATTGGTGTCGGCCTTAAGAAGGATGCTTTATCTGTCAATCTTTAGTGTCCCAAGACCCAATGGTGGCGGGAGGTTCTGACTAGAAACAGACAGACGCATTAGCCGGTCGATATTTTTAGCCAATATTAGCATGCTTTTTTGCCTTATCAAGTTCGGCCGATACATGCAAGCAATCGCTGATTAATTAGTGAATGGCTTTCATCGCTGCCCTTCTTTTTCTGCGGTCTATCGTTAATAAGTCTCTTTTTTTGTTAATATTTTTTGTTAAACTGAGTTTTGTAATTGTCCAAAAAATAAAAAATTGGTAGCACATATCAGGGATCGTTAGACTGATGGTAAAGTAATCGGTATTTAAAAAAAATGCTGTATCTGTTAATCTTTAGTGTCCCAAGACCCAATGGTGTTAGGAGGTTCCGACTAGAAACAGACAGACGCATTAGCCGGTCGATATTTTTAGCCGATATTAGCATGTTTTTTTGGATTATCAAGTTCGGCCGATACGTGGACACAATCGCTGATTAATTATTGTATGGCTTTCATCGCTGCCCTCCTTTTTCTGCTATCGTTAATAAGTCTCTTTTTTTGTTAATATTTTTGTTAAACTGAGTTTTTAAATGTCCCAAAAAATAAAAAAATTGGCAGCACATTTCAGGGATCGGTTAAACTTGTGTAAAACTAATCGGTATTGGCACTGGTCTTAAACAAGCAAATTGGAATCCCTGATGATAAATGTCTAAACATGGATTTGTGATTGTTTTGGCCAAAAAAAACAACAAAAAAAGGAAAGATTTAAAAAAAATACAACAAAAAAATAAATATATAAATAAAATGAAACCTATTTCTTTGCACCGTACTCTTATTCCAATACAGCTCTCTCCTTGTTCCCCTCTCCACACATCATTAAACATATTATTATAACATGACTGTCAGCCCGCGCCTCTCCTCGATCCGTTCTTGCTCTGCCAGGTAATCAATTTGTCGTCACTCTCTGTAACCCCAGTAAAGTCATCAAGTGAAATGAGTTACAGCTGCAAAAAGCCTTCAAGTATACAGGAGAGGTGGGGGGGCAAAAAAAAAAAGGACAAGAGAAAAATGACAACACAGCCCAGGAATATTCCACCGCTTGATAGCACATCCCAGGTCTTGAAGATGAAATATTAATGCACAATTTGTTTATCTGCGGGCCCACATCTCTCCGGTGCCGAGCTGTTAATTTTCTATCGCCACAGACAACGGATCAGTCAGTCATGAACTCTTCACAGCCATTACCGGGAGACATTTTGATTAAGTATTCCTAATGTAGTGGATAGGAAAGAATGAAAACACTCTGCCTGCCAACTTTTGATTGACCATTAAGCCACTGATGAATGTGCCTGTCAAAGAGGAGACAATTACCTCAACAATGAAGAAACTCTTCTGGAAGGCTTATTTCTCTGTAGGGCTGACACATTTACCAGAGTACAGGCGAAAGGCAGCTGAGAGCGTGTAAAGGGATCACTTAGGCATCTTCTCAAAAGTTCTCAGAATAAAAGCTGGGGGGCATTGTTTTCGCAGGGAAAAAAGGAGGCTTTTCCGAGCCTCGGGTGTGGGAAAAAGAAGAAGAAATGTTTACCGTTTAAATGCGCGTAAACGGAGAGTGTGTCGACCAGATAAGGGTCTCGGTATCTTAAGCGGCTGTGAAGAGATGCTATTATTTGGCAGAGAACAATCGCCATCTGGTTGCTACATCCGCAGCCGTAATAAAGACTGATAACTCCTCAGCGCACCATGACCAAGTAATTGCATCCTCATAGCGCCAGAATGCCCTTGATCAATCTGGGTTTAATCCAGCAGCTCCGTCTCTGCTGAAGCTATTTGTTTGAAGGGAACTTTCAGGAAAAAATAAAAAGGGAGTACAGGAAATGAAAGAGCTGGTTTTATGTTGAGGTTTGTCATTTTTTTTCTGCATTTTTTTCAGTCGGAGTAAACAGGAGATCACAGAATAAGCATCAGAGGATGAAGGTGATGAATTCTACAAGCAAATGATGTGACCTTCTGTAGAGGAAAACAAACCCCCCTGTATGTTGTGGAGGTGTGTTTGACTTTTTTTCTCCTGGATAGACCTCCAGTAAGTGTGTGTGTGTGTGTGTGTGTGAGGGAGTGCAACCCATTCTCCATTTGTCCATAAGATTATGAAGAGTTCATACAGAGTTCAACTGCTATGGATACAGTGGCAGCAGCACATCTTTCAGCCCCTCCTCTGCACTTCATGCGGGTCAAAACGAAAAAACACACACAGAGATTACTTTTTTTTCTTTAAACGATCCTTTAAAGGTGAGAAAAAGTTTCTGATCAGTGGGATAAGCAATACCCCGTAGCTGCTTGTAGCTTTAAAAATGAAAAAAACAAACAATGGATGTTTTTTTAACCCTTATTTAGACACGGCCCAGGTATCACGTCTCATAATAACACAAATTTCCTCCAAACGGCTAAAACATGTCCGTTAAATCGTTCCTACAAGATGTAGAAAAGATTACTACTTTTTTTTTTTTTTTTTTTTTTGCTGCTCACTGCCAGTCAGCTGGCTAAAAGAAAAGCAACTACACTTGTCATACATCATTCGGAGATATTTTCAAGCAAAAACCAAAGTCAGGAAGTAAATCACTGTTGAGGCACTGGCTCCAAAAGTTAAGAGATGCGCCCTCTATGGGGGGTTCAGTGTAATTACAGCTGAAGTTAGCTAGAAATGAACGATTTTAAAAGGTACTGACAATGAGGATGGTTATAATGATTAGACTTTTTCAATAGAGAGTTAAAGGAGTTTATTTAAATGAGACGTGGTTTGATAAAGTTTATTTTTTTTCTTAAATTTGTTAAAAATTAATCAAGAAAAGTTTGGGAAGCACCATGAACAGCTGGGTTAAGGTTGGCTTATATTGGATAAAACTGCTTATTCTGATCATATAAAACCATTAAAAACAAGCAGGTTGTAAAATGTTTCTTTAGGTCAAGTTTTTTCTAATTAAGCTAATATAAAATATATATATTATATCCTAAAATATATAATATAAATCAGTTTTTCCCGTATTTCTTCATTTAAACGCGCACAGGGTTACCTTATACCTGTTTTTTTGTTTTATGGCAAACATAAATTTGTATTTTTTAAGTCCAGCTGAGCATACGGTGGGAATCTCGTTGTTATTTGTTAGAATAACTGGTCCTCTGCTGAGCGCAGCCAACACCTCGGACCTCAGGGGCCCAAAGTGGTAGAAGAAGGACCCCTGATGGGTCCCATCTGGAGGAAAGACAGCTGTTCAGAGTCTGCGCTCAGGTTATTTACTGTTATATAACTCTGTCCTGAATAAAGTACCAAATTCCTGCTTAGCTGGGGGGAGTGGGGGGGTCCTGGGACACACAGGAGGGAGGCAGGCGGAGGGTCCCACTGGATTAAAGTTGGAATTTTGCTAAAAAGCGGTTTTCCACACAGAAAGGAAAAAAAAGCCAGAGTAGTTTCTTACCCGCCGCCCGTTTGGGCGCTTGCTGCTTCCTCCGCGGCATTTCTGCTTTTCTTCCTCTTTCTGGAGTCGCGGCTCTCTGCGTGTCCAGGTGAAATCTGAATGCGGTGTGAGCGACAGTCCACGCATTCACGCACTCACACGCACCCGGAGCACAGAGCGCGCAGTCTGCCTCTTATTGCTCCTCTCACACTTCCTCGATCTTTCTTTTTATTGTTTTGTCCTTTTTTTTTTTTTTTTTTTGGAAAGAAAAGAATCCGAGGATTGTTTATTTTCCTTCAAAAGAAGCGAGGAGCGGATGAATCAGCCGCGGCTCTTCCTCTTCCTCCGCTTCCTCCGGGCTCTTTTCACCATCCGCTTTTGTCCATCAGTGCCTTGCGTGTTGATCGACGTGTGTCAGTCAGTCAGTCCGCAGCAGAGCTGGTTCTGCTCTTCTTGTTTTCTTGCCTCCGTGGATAAAAAATCTGCGCGTAAGAAGAAGGAAGCAAAGAGGCGCAGTGGTTAATGGTTCGCTGGATTATTACGCACGGTGCAGGCGGAGAAGGGGGAGAGGCGATGCCAGCAGACATCGATCCTTAGAACAAACTGAACATTAAAAACTCCTCCCTCCTCGCCTGGACTTGATGATGGCAGCGAGACATTTGTTACACTAGATAAGCATGAGTTTATTAAAGGAACAGAGGCCAGAGAAAAGAGCGCTGCTTTCTGTCACTCTGCTTTTTTCCTGCTTTAGAGCTTCCGCTTTGCTCTCTGGAGGAAGTTTGAAGGACCGCCAACAATCATGAATGAATCCCACGCCTGTTCTATGAACATTAGGCTGGAATTGAGGAAATTACTCTATAAAAAAAATAAAAGTTGGTTTATTTTAAAAGTGGAAAATGCAGAAATATTTAAAGCATTTAGTCATTTTTAAGGAATAAGATATAGATTAACAACTCCATATACGAGCCCGGTAGTATTTATTAGGAAATCTGGAAACATTTGAACACATCACTACAGATGGTGGCTGTACACAAAATCCTGCAACCATATTAAAGGAAAGTTTAGTGGAAGGACAAAGTGTGGTCTAAATAAATATGGTGTCAAAGCAAGAGAGGCACCGTTAGTCTATAGTCTCCAAAGACCTGTTTTTCTTTTTTTTTATAAACTGGCTGTTTACTACGGAGCCCCCTAGGAGACATGGGGAATTTTTTTTCTTTTGCGTTCCCTCGCAAAAGTATTGCGTTACCTTGCAAAATTTTGCATTAAACCTACAGTGTGTAATAATTACAGGGATATACAGTCAGAAATGTAATATATTATAGATAACTATGTTATTTATCATCATCTACGAGCTCAGCCTCTTAACCTTAATATTTGCGTTGCCTTAGAATTCGTTATTTATAATTACATAGGAGCGGGTCTCGCAGCCATGGAGGCAGACATCTTTGCGCTACGGCAGCGCAGAGCCAACAAACTAGCGATTGCGAGATCGCCAAAACGTCACAACGATGTAGAAAAAATAACGGGTATATTTATTATCTTAAGTCTACATGAAATCTATACCCTACACAGACTAATGAAATACTATCTGTAAAATTATCTATGTAAACAAACCTCATCACTTGAGAAGGTAGGTGATGCGGACGTCGTGGAAGACATTTTGTCCCGTAACGCTCGCCGTACTGTTGGGGGGGAGAAGCGGTGGGGGGGAGATGTTCATGTTGCTGCAGTCTGCAGTCTGACCGCTAGATGTCGCTAAAAGTTACACACTGTAGCTTTAACTCGCAAAACCTTTTACATTACCTCACAAAACCTTTTGCGAAAAACCTTACTTCGGTCAAGTTAGAAAGATATTCACAGATTCAGACTTCCGGGATCAATAACTGGTTGTTGAAACACAAATGCCACCTCTTTCATGACCTGATAGCACAGACTACGTATTATAAGCATCAAAAAGCGTTATTTTCGAGAAAAACAAGCCGTTTTCTGAGCTGGATGTATTACATTGATCTCTATGCACAGGCAGCGGCCAGGCGAGTGGTTAGGGGCCGTCTGCAAATGGTAAAAAAGCAGCAACATGTTGCAAATAAAAATCAATAACTCCACTGCCATAAAGTGCAGAGACTCCAAAATCACCACACACACTAAGGGGCTCTTGGTAATCGCACTACAACAGCTGGTTTGGAAAAATACACCTTTACTTATTTTTTTAGAAATTTTTTGTTATAATTAACCATTAATATCATCCTATTTTACTTCATAAAGAACTCCCATCTGCCTAGCATCTCTGTGTACTTCATTCACAAAAAGTTATATAAAGGTGTATTTTTTCCAAAACAGCCGTTGTAGTATGATCACCAGAAGTTCCTTGGTTTGTCTGGCGATTTTTGAGTGTCTGCACTGTATAACCACAGAGCTCACGCAAAATGTTTTGCGTGGGAACGCAAAAATTTCGCAAAAGGTTTTGCGAGGTAACGCAATACTTTTGTGAGGGAACGCAAAAGAAAGAAAAATTCCCCATGTCCCCTAGGGGGCTCCGTAGTTTACAGGCGGCTGTAATCAACCATATTAAAAGAAAATAAGGTGGAGGGAAAAAGTGGAAACAGAAGGTGCTAAATTGCTGCCATGACGGTGTTCTGTCAGACCAGCATACCCATAGTTAATACCCGCTTATCCCTTTAGTTTATCCCTTTATTTTTGTATGAAGAAAATAGACACTTTAAACTACCTCAACAGGTATGTATCCCTTTATTCATGTACAACAAAACAATTTAATTACTTACTTTCTGGTGTTTTTGGAAGCATACGGCGATCTGACCTTAAACTGTTTGTATTTTTTTATTTTTTTGTACATGACCAAATAGATAAACGCCCGTTGAGGTAGTTTAAAGTCTATCTTTCGTACAAAACTAAAAGAATAAATGCAAATCTGACGTCTTACACAAGCGTATTGACTATGGGTATGCTGGTCTGACAGAACACCAGTTCTAGGAAGGCTCCTTGTTATGACCCTTGTCCTAAAGACATTACAACATTTTACAACATAAGCTGAAACGCAGTGGAACAGAAACCACCACTGACAGTATGGCGTTACATTTATGTCATAACCAACGCGAGCAAAAAAACATACTCGCATGTATGTTAAACTACTTCTGCGCATGGTTTATCTACCGCAGCGCGAGAAACTGCTGCTTCAAGAGGAGAAAATCTCTCTCCGCGCGCGCCAGCCTCTCCCACGCGCGCCAGGGATCTCCTTGCGCGCACAATTTTCTATCCACGCTCGAAGACGGCTGCCCTCTTGAAAGCATCTCCGCGCTCGGACCGATTTTCTCCTCGTGCGGAGGAAAAGTGGTTTTGACAGGTTGGGCGGAGACAACTGTAAGCCTCCTCCTGATTGGGCCTTGCAGACACGATCTCAAAGGAAGTAGTGTCAGGAAGCATTTGACTGACAGCTCGTCATTCTACGTCTGTTTATTCGAAGATAGCCCTACTCCATGAGAAATAATTGTGCTTTTTGGGGGTTGTGAATTCCGCTTACCTCACGTAGTGCAAACGATAGAGAAAAGATAGAGACAGCTCGTCAGTTAAGACACGGCTCGAGGCGGGACAGTGACGCAGCGCTTTCTCTATCGTTTGCACTACGTGAGGTAAGCTTCCGAGCGCTCGTAGAGGAGCTGGGGCGCGCGGAGAGAGATTTTCTCCTCTTGAAGCAGAAGTTTCTCGCGCGGCGGTAGATAAACCATGCGCAGAAGTAGTTTAACATACATGCGAGTATGTTTATTTTGCACGTGTTGGTTATGACATAAATGTAATGCCATACTGACAGGTCCTTTGGACAAATTTAATTTTGTATTTTAACTTTTAATCTTTTCAATGGTTTTAAAGTTTAGATGTTTTACTTTTAGCAGCAGTCATATTTAGACAGATAGATCTGAGGTTTCCAGAGATGCAAAGTGTCATGATCGGTTTTATGAATCTGACCCACATGCAGAGGAATCTTGGATGTTGTAGATAATGCTGGTGAGGGACTCACGTTTGAGGGGGGCCTTGTCACTCCTTGAATCCAGTCTGTGTGGGATAATCCAGAGAATGGTGAACACGTTGGAGGGTGGACAGGAAGACAAACGTTGGACCCGGATGAGTAATGGAGCAGACTGTCACTCGGATTTCTGATGGGAACTTGAATGGATCATGTGGAGGTTTTCCCCTGCTCAGTGTGAACTCGGCTTTACCTTCCAGGGGGAGAAGGTCCAGGTATCCAGTTAAACAGGAAGTCTTCCTGCCGAAGAAACAAAGACAAAGTACATAAGTCTCAGAGGAGCAACACTAGATTAGACTCAGCTAATCTCAGCTTGGCTAGAGTACCCAAAACTGGCAAACACTCTGGCGTCGAGGTAGTGACAGCCCACTGCTCAAATACTCCTCCAGATAATGGTCCAATGAGCCGCAGGTGTGCAGGGAGGCGTAAAGAAGACAGGGCACCTCCTAGTGGTGGAAAAAAGGAAAGACACAAACAGACCACACAAACTGGATTCCTAACACAAAGTTTGTTCACTTAATCTTGGAGATGCAGCGATCCATTTTTTTTCCGATCCAATCCGATAACGATACCCGATCTGATTCAACTGTTGAATAATATCTGATAACCCCGTGAACCCTACGGACCCACCGGCGGGTCCAGCTGCTACATGACCTCGTAGTTTTACCAAACCCCCAGTATTGATGTAAAAAACATATTTGGCACAGTTTGGTGACATTTAAGGATAAATGTGCCAAAATGGCCTCTCCGCCTAAGAAATTTCTCACTAATACCATTCTAAAATAAATATGATTCATCTGATTGAGTCCAGATTTGGTATATTTTTACACAACATTTAGATTTGAAAGTCTGTACTACTTTTTTGTGCTATAAATAATATTTTGGTAGTGTTTTGCAATGTTTATTTCAAAGAAAATTTTGGCGAGGTTCAAAAAATGCAAAATATTTTGTATTTTGTCCCTAATATTTCAGGCAGGCTCAAAGCTACAATGGTGCTGACACCAGAAAACCATTCTATGACATCTTACCTTTACAGACGTACCAAAAGTTTCTTATTAAATCTAATAGCTTTGAGGCTATAAGTTACTTACTTTTGTGTGTTTTTGTCAGGCAGAAATTTATTTATACCCCCTTAGGGTGTAAGAGGATAAACTGTTACCCTGTATTTTGGGGGGCTGGGTTTGTTTCGTTATTTTGTGTGGTGCCCCCACCCCCCTCAGGTAAACTGGACATTGCAACACATTTTCAAGAACCATATTTATACTTACAGTTTATTCTAAATAAATCAGCACATCACCAAAATGAATATTTGATCATTAATGGTAACTCTTGCGCTGGTGCTGCAAATAGAGTATAATATTTAAACTGTTTATTTTACTATGTTACAAATCAGACAAAAACGTAAGATTATTAAATTAAAAAATAAATCAGGTTTTGCTCTTCGGTAAAAAACTAATCTTTGATCTCCTTTACTAGAAGTGACAAAGAAAGGATGCAGTAAAGGAAAATGGATGTTGTTTTCCCATGCTATAGTGTACTTCACACCTTTCTTTTAATCTAAAAGCATGTTTTATTCAACCTTTTTACACCTGAAATAACATTCTTTTCAACACGTTCTTTCAATCCACATCCTCCATCAGTGGCTTTGGCCCCATGAAGCTTCTATTCCTCTTTTAAAAGCCTCTCA